AATGAACCTCAGAACCAGTTTCTGCAAGAACAACAAATGCTCTTAACTGCTGAGCCACCTCCCCATCCACAAAAACAAAAACAAAAAACCACACCAGCCCCCTATTTCAGCATCCCTGTCTTTCATAGTTGGCCTCATGCATCAGAGTAGTTTGACCTACGTTTCCAGAGAGTGTGCCCCACTGTCTATTAAGCTGTTTGACATGGGAATGGCTCCCATGAAAATGTGAGCTCCACCAATCTGACCCATCCCTGGGGAATTTGGACTAAGGCAACCAAGAGGCCCCATCTACTAGGGGAATGGACACTGTAGGTTTTGAGGCTGGTGACTGTGACAGGAGAGGTTATGAGAACAGGTGTTCCTCATTAGAGGGAAAAGTAGAGTTAGAGGAATTATAAAGCACGGCCTTGCCTGGGCCTCTAAGAGAAAGGGGAGAGGCTTTGGTTCCTAAATGTTCCTCAGTTCCGACTCCATGAGGACCATTGTTCTCTTCCTAGATCACCCAGGCATTTGGGAGTTGTATTAAAAAAGAAAAGGGGAAGGTAGGAAGGAAGGATGAAAAAGAGAAGGAGAGAGAGAGAGAGAGAGAGAGAGAGAGAGAGAGAGAGAGAGAGAGAGAGAGAGAGAGAAAGCAAGCATCCATAAGATGTCTTCATTGTTAGGTGTATATTGATTCATGTAACTAAAAAGTCCTAACACACTTCAGGCTCAGCTTGATACAGCAGCTCAAATGATGCCACCGGTGACCCCATGTTTTTCAGTCCCTCTATCCTGTCTTTTGTAAGGATGGCTTGACCCTTAATCTCTACGCTTTGTCCCATCTATGGCCACTCTAGAGTCTTCAAGATGGCTGCAGCAATTCACAGCTTCATGCCACCCTGCAAACGGTGGCTCAATCCTGGCAGTTCTTTCCACTTTGGGACTTGATCTCCAAGCAGTGACTCGGGCTGGTGGAGATAAAAAGTGCTATTTAAATCAGACTCCACATCGCTTGCTTCAATTTTCCTACTTGCAATAACAACTGCTTATTATGATCCAGTTCCCGCAATGTCCGCCCCACACGTTACCTCCCCTAAAACTCATAAAACCTTCCAAGGCACTTACCAGGGCAATCTCTACTTTGTTAAAGAGGAAATGAGAGCTCAGAGAGTGTGGCCACCTTACCTGGGGTCACACAGCCAGCACTGACAGTTCTACCAGTGTCCAGGAGTCTAAAAAAGCCCTGTGAAATGCAGGACCCTGAGCTCCTGACTCCCGTGTGCCTGCTTTTACAGCAGGGGTCACTTAATATCACTGACCCCACCCCATTGCTGCTCTTCTGTCGCCTGCCACATCCTCTGACCAAGATCCCTTGCACGCCGGGAGATGTTTTTTGTTCAAAGATCTCAAGCTTTACACTGGGTTACTCAAAAGTCCTGTTCCCACCTCTGGGTTTCTCTGGACTCTATTCTCATCACCACCTCGAGCCGTTTCCATGGAAACTGCTGGGCTCCTGCATCCCTTTCATCCTTCTTTCTGGGAAGCAAGGCCAGCTCTCTGGCACCCTGGTAGCCAGGCCTGACCATTATAAAGACCAAAGAGGCAGTATTTGAAAGAAGTATTTGTAGGGAGAGGGAGGAACCAGGACACACGCCTGGGTTTTCTTTGAAGTGCTCCAAAATAACACCAGGTGCTCTGAGGAAGTCTGCCAATTAACTGCGGCCCACTACAGGTTGCAAGGTGTTTGCCATCCCATCTCTGGCATCTCATAGTCACATTCCTCACTTCCTGGGGACCTGGGACAGAGGGCTCATGGAGAAAATCTACTTACCATGTCCTTGTGTCAGTGACAGTCCTCAGAGGGGACAGTCAGTGGGACGGCAGAAGGATGCAAAAAGCAATGCCTAACCCAGTCACTGGAGGGCTTCTGGACACTGGGAAACATGAGACATGGTGGCACGGTCTAGGCAGTACTTCCTAGATACTGTCCAGGAACATGGCACCTGACACACAAGCCCCTGGTACCTGAACGAACCGAAGTAAACTCAGTTATCCCATCCCTGCTTAAATGTTGGTCCCTCTGAGCCTTGGTTTCCTTATCTTGAAGATGGGCCCAAATCTTACATGGAACATCTGAGCCCAGCTGTGTGAGCCAACAAAGTATGATCCAGTACAACCACTGGTGAGGACAAATACAGACACCAACATCCACAGCTGTAACTACTACCACCATCACTATCACCAGAGCTGTTATAAAACTCAAATGGACGTCCTGGAGGAACAACAAGATTTCAGACACTGGAAAATATGTATGGGTTTCAGTCCCGTGAGAAGCAAGCAGAAAAGCATGGTTTCCATGTCACCGCCTTAAGATGAAGTCATTGGCTCCCCCTTGCTTTGCCCTTGCTTCACCTTCTGGTGCTGGGCAAGGCAGTCTAGGCTGCTTCAGACCTTCAACAATAGAGTTTGAAAAAAAGCACAGTGTCTTCACATGGGCCCTAAACTCCCCAATTCTGCTCACCTCAATCTGCCTGGGACCATGCAGCCTCACAGTGTCCCTTCCTACCCCAGAGGAGCTGGAAAAGAAACCATACCTGGGCACCCCTTTCAAGTTAGTGGCCTCAGGTGGAGGTAGAGGGCATTCTGGACATGATAAGTAGACAGGAGGCATCTGACTCCTGGGTTGACAGGTGTGGGCTAGGGCTAGTCTTTCAGAATATCAAGAAAGGTTCCTCTTACCCCATGTTGATACCAATATCTACTTTTCCATTTAGCTCAGACCACACACAGGATTCTTGGTGGCGAACTCTTGACGACATCATTTGTGGTCCTTATCTTGATGCTGTGAGAGGAATCAAGGAGGTGCTGCCTTGCATATTTACAGAGCCAGCAAACAGTTTCTCCCTCAGACCTGAGCTGGGAGGGGCCAGGAGGGAACTCAAAGGAAGGAACCCCAGTGGCAGGTGCCTTGGGCGCACTGGGGTAACAAGCTGCTGTTCTGGAAACAGCGGCTGCCTCATTTACCCCTGGACCTCACTTTGGCATTCACTGGAGGATGCAGAAGGTTAAGAGTCTGGATCTGGAATGGTCTCCAAAGGCTTGTGTGTTAAGGGCCTGGTTTGCAATTCAGGTGGGATTTGGAGAAGGGGGAGTGATTGGGTGGTAGAGCTCTGACTTCACTGATGGGTTAATCCACTGACTTTAATAGTTGGGTATTGGAAGATGGTAGAAACTGGAGGTAGGTGGGAACAGTTGGGGTGCAGCAGGTCACTAGGGTGTCAGTGGGAGGCTGTGTCTTGTCCCAGCTTTGTTTCCCATCTCTCCCAGTCTCACTTCCTGACCAAGGCTCCCACCATGACACTTTGCCTCACCACCACCCATGAGCAATGAACCAAAACCCCCACAGACTAAAACCTCCAACATCATGAGTCAAAATACTCTTTTCTCCTTTAACTTGACTTCCTCGCGTGTTTTGTCACAGTGATGCAAAGTTGGCCAACATTCTGAACAAGGAGTCATTGCCTGGCTGACCAGCGACCACAAGCACTGGCTGCATGAAGGACAGGAACACAAACTTGTTTAGCCCTCAGAGCAATTCCAAGATGTCAATACCACACTCCCATTTTACAGACTAGAAAAGATGAGGCACAAACAGGTTATGTAATCGAAACACAGTTGCAAAGGGTTTTTGTTTTGTTTTGTTTATTTGCTTGTTGTTTTAGGAACCAGACCCTAGGAGCTTAGTTCTAGAGCAACTGTCCTTTAGGACCGAGCCTTCTTTCCTCTTCATAGACAAGACTCAGGCAAGGGCCCCCAGCTTCCTAATTTCCGAGCCCTAGCAGCAAGGGAGCCTGGGATACCCAGGCCTCAAAGCTAGCTTTTTCTGCCTCTTCTTCCTGAGTCTGTTCCTGTGAATAACCTCTAATACATTGGCTTTGGGTAACACATGAGCAGTTTGGGAACTTGGGCTCTCTGTTGTTGCCCTTTGAGGTCAGCTCAGGGATGCCCCACCTGACACCACCTGCTCCTCTCTGCCCCCACCCTGGTTATCCTCTCCCCCAGCGACCTGCTTTTGATTCTCACCTCCTTCTCTTTTGCTCTCCTTTTGAAAGCAGCTAGGCTAACACTCATTAGCACATGTTAATGAGCACCAATTCATGCCTCTGTTCTTCTTTTTAGGGGTGGGTGCTGCTGTAACTCTAAGGGAAAGGTGTCCATGAGGCTAGCACACACAACATGGCCGAGACCTTTGGAGTATATGGGAACGAACAAAGCTCTGACTGAGGGCCCCAGAGGTGTGCTTGCTCCTGGATGTTTCGTTTAAGGGAAGCTCAAAGCATCCCTGGGTCAGAGTTTAATGTCCTCTATCTACTGCACATTCCTACTACCATGACCCTAGGTGGATGTGATTGACATCTGGAATTGTAGTCTGCAGTCTGCCACTCCCTGGACAAAGGCCTAAAAGTCCCTAGAGCAAGACCAGTATGTGGTAGATACTGGAGGGAGGAACTCCACAGGAGAGTTCCTCCTCTATTCCCATCTGAATGCACCCTGCACCCTGCAGATTCCAGCTCCCCATCTACAAAAGAAAAAGGTGTGTATGGGGGGGGGGAGGGGGAGCAACTTGAAAACTCTTTCCTGCAATTCTGCCACGACACATACACACACACACACACACACACACACACACACACACACACACACACACACACACACACGAGGGAGTAAGAGGGCATAAAAGGAGTTCTAGGTTCAAATCTCAGCTTTGCTACTTTAGTAATGTTACAGCTGGGTAGATGGTCAGAGAGAAAGGAAGGCAGGAACAAAACAACCTCTTCCATTTCCACCGAAGAAAAGCCTGCGGTGTCCCCGGCAGGCACCCAGGAATCTCTTTGAACCCTGGGAACCCTGGCAGAGGAATCCGGGGCCTCCGCCCGTGCAGCGCCGCGCCCTATGAGATTCCCTGAGTGTGCGCGCCCCCTGCCGGCGGTCCGATGAGGTACAGCTCCGGGCCGCCTATAAAGGCAGCGTGGCGCGCAGCCCCAGAGCGAGAACCAGAGCCTAGCGGCACCGAGTAACAACGCTAAGAGGCTTAAGATCTCCAGGAGCGGCTCACCATGGCTGGCCCGCAGCAGCAGCCCCCTTACCTGCACCTGGCCGAGCTGACAGCATCCCAGTTCCTGGAAATCTGGAAGCACTTTGATGCAGACGGTCAGTAAATATCCCAAGTTATAGGTCCATTGACCCCCAGGGACCTGAGGTTGGCAAAGGGGTCAGGGGCATGGCTCAATGTGGGTAGATGTGCTCTGTCCCTAAAGAGGTTTGTTCTGGCAGCAGATCCCGCTGGGGTCTTGAGTTTGGGAAACGCCCGACTGCCCTGCTGACAACTGTCAGTAAGTTTTCCCAATGCAGGGTGTCCAGGGCCGATGTTTCGAACAAGTCAGAGCTTTTCCAGATAGGAGGACTGGGCAAAAAAGGCTCCCCAAGATTCCTCTGCCTTCTTCCCCACCTTTCCCTTCAAGCTAACGCCCGGCCGTCAGCCCCCGTAGCCACAGGTCTCCAAACCCACTAATTTCACCCCTCTTGCTCCTTACCCCATCCTCAGTACAGGAGACTAGAAGGCTGGGCACCCTGAAGGGAAACTCAGGGGCCTCCCCTGAAGCTGGGGGCCTGGTTAACCAGGAGCAAGAGTAGAGAATGAACCTGGGGCTCTTAATAAACTGGGACTTCTTGAGACAACAACACCAGTATGTGGATTTCCCAACTACAGAGCAGTGGGTGTGGTGGGGAGGCTCCTGAGGCTAGCCCCCAGCCTGCTGTCTGGTGGTAGAGACTCAGGTATCCTGAGTGACTGTCTGTGGAGGGGGGGCGTTGTCTTAGACATCCCAGTGGCCAACACTTTGCTCTATGTGGTCTTCACAATGACCAGCCCAAAAAGTGAGGTCCAGGTGAATGGCTTTGTAGGTGGCTCCTACACCTGCAATTCCAAGAGTCTGCAAAGAGCATACACACCACCACCCCGTCCCCATCTCTTCCCTGCCCCCACTCCCACCTTCCGCTATTACTGGAGACTTTTCCATCACTCAGGAAAAGGGGGGGGGGGGAGAAAAGCCATTTCAACCACTCTCCAATGCCCTGGCTAAGGTGAGTACCCAGAACGCACTAGCATCTCGGACCTGTTGGCAGGGTGGTGGCTGATGGGGACTGGAAGTCATCTTAACAGTGGGCAACTCCCTGAATTCTCTCCCTCCTCTCTGAATGAAGATGGGTGCACAGAGATCCTCTGCTCCTAGTGCTGTGGCAAGGAAAGGGTTAATGTCTGAGGATGCCTTAGGTGAAGTTTTGTTTCCCTGGAAGCAATAGAGAAAGATGGAGATGCTGAGGAGGACTATGTATCAGGATAGCTGGGGTAGGATAATGATCTGCCTGAGAATTACTGAAGGTGGTGGCTCAGTTGCTCAATCTGAAAAATGGGGCTAAGGAGGGAATATATTTCACTTCCCTGCTCCTATCACCCAGGATGGAAAGGGCTCCAGCAGCATTGCAGCCCATTGCATTGCACGGGGGCATGCTTTGGCTAGTGTATCTGCACCAGAGACTTGCATGAGTCAAGGAAAGTTACCAAGCTGTCAAGGTTATGCCACTGGCCTCCTGCTAGATGAGTCAGCTATAAACATCTGACTCCAAGTCTACTTTTCCCCGGGGACAGATAGTAGCCCTCTCAATCATCATGAAACCCTGATGATAAGGTCTGTTCTGAGACACTGTACTTTAAAAAACACTTCAGCCCCTTTGAGCCCCGCTCGCTCTGGGATTCTTATGGGCAGATTCCCCTGATGTAGATGAGGAAGCTGACACCAGGATTTGGTTGGTGATGCTGGCTTCCAGCTGGGGCTTATGTCCCCATTCAAGGGGTCTCCTCCTAGGGTAGCAAGAGGAGTTTTCTACAATGTAGCACTATCCCATGAAAAAGCCTCAGCCCAGCTTTGGAGGTGGTGGGTAATTCTTTTTATCACAGAAAGGGATCCTTGGATTTACCCACACACCTCCTCAAGCAAGTCCCAAGTGGGTCCAGAAACAAAAGCAATGTGACACGCAAAATGCACATGTGGACACACTGGAACCCCACTGAGGGATCTAGAAGTAAGTTTGGGAACGCCTTTCTCTGTACCTCTGTGGTTGACCTTCTCCTTGGCTTCTTGAACACCCCTCAGGCTGCAGGTGAGCCCCGTACCTCATCACCTGAGCTGTCCTTTCTCCTAGCTGCCCTGGCTTCTGTTTGCAACTTAAGGATCCATGGCAAGAGGTTTGCTACTCAGTACCTTAAAGACCCCTGGGAGACTCTGCACAGCTCACAGGGTCCCTGGAGTGAGCTCACTGGAGCCCAGTTAATGACAGGCACCTCCTGGCCACCCAGACTCTTGTAAACAAGGAGACTTTACAAAAGATGTTGATCCAGTGAGAACAGGGCTGCAGGCTGGGGCTGGGAGTGGTGGCCCTTCCTCAACCCCTTTCAAGTCAGAAAGAAGGGATGCTACCTAGTTCCTTCATCCAAAAGAATTGTTTTCAAAAAGGTCACTAGCAGTGGGGAGGAGAAGAGAAGGCATTTGGGGAGTGGGGACTGGGCAGGAAAGGACCAAAGAGTTCTTTAGTCTCCTATACAACCCCAACTTGCCCTCATTGGCCACCAAGTGTAGGCACTGGGAGCGATCAGTCCCTCTAATGTATCAGTATCAGGCATCAGTGAGGTGTTGGCCAAACCACCCTATGCCTTCTCAGGCTAAAGGGCTTTTCTACCTGTCACCTCCACAATCTCCACTCTGTTGCTTCCTGGACATTTTGTCAGCAATTGTTTGACTCTACAAGATCCAAGTGGCAGTGAGGCCTGGTAGCACATGTCTATACCCAGCTGCTCAGGATGCAGATTACACATTCATAGACTGCCTGGGTTATAGAATGAGTTTCAGGCCAGCCTGGGCAACTTGGTGAGACTCTGTCTCAAAATAAAAAGTAAAACGAGATGAGGAATGAAGTTCAGAGGTGTAGTGTTAATCTAAATGTTTGTCTAGCATGCACCAGGCTCTAGGTTCAATCACCAGCAACTCAGTAATAAAAAGAGAGAGAGGTGGGGGGGGAGGGAGGGAGAGGGAAGGGAGAGAAAGAGAGAGAGAACCAGGTGGCTGAAGGATGGACCCCCAAATCAGAGTGCACATACCCTCTCTGTGTATTTCTGACAGATGCTACCAGGCTCCTAGTCCACCTGATAACATGCAAGGAGCCAACTTGTGGCTCAGGAAAGAAATGAAAGAAATAAAAGGGTTCTTGCCAGTCTTCTAGAAGCAATTAGAATGCAGAAGAAAAAGGAGTATTCTCCCAGGAACAAGCCGACATCCATGGACCAAGAGAGGCACCACTCGGTTCAAGCCTCTATCCTACATAATACATAGAATATATATTATATCATATATATAAAGTAGGATCCATGTAACCCATATAATATAGTATATGTGTAGAAAGGAATACAAACAAGAGAGCCTATTAAAGGAGTTATTTGAAACTAAACCCCCAAAGTGGATTATGTTCAGCTCCACTGTAGAGCAAACATGGGGAAGTACCCCCAAAAGTGCTACTTTTAAGACTATATCAGGTCAGCTGGTTTTACTATGTAAGAAAGAAATGATCTTTCAGATATTTTCTACCTAGCTACAGGTACAGAGATGTACGCAGTCTTTTGGATTCTGTCCACCTTGAAAAAGCCTTGGTGAGTCAGCTTCTCAAGCCTTTCCCAAGCATCAGGCTTGTTCCCCACACACTGAGAACTTAGAAAGTTAATAATAAAAAGGACCACACAGTACCGAGGAGGGCTCTGCCGGGCTCTTCTTTCCCTCCTAAACCCAGTGTTTCTAACAGCAGCACCCTGCAAACTTATGTACCACTGAAGCACTGAGGACCAGGATCAGTGCCCAGGCAGGCCCTCCCAGACAACCCCCCATCCCCCTACACACACACACACACACACACACACACACACACACACACACACACACACAGAGCCAGCTCTGATCCTAGTGGAGGGAGGAAGGAAGGAAGGAGGAAAATTTGAACAGCTTAGCCTGCCAGAGGCTGGAGAGGCCCGAGAAACAGAGAGAGAGAGAGAGAGAGAGAGAGAGAGAGAGAGAGAGAGAGAGAGAGAGAGAGAGAGAGAGCGATGAAATGACAAATCATGGGATGTTAAACCAGAAGACTTGTGGAAAAAAAGGTACAAGATGCACAGTGGACATTAAGTATTGACTGCTGTGTCTACAATTTAACAGAACTGCTATTCATAAGCTCATAATAGACTCATGGAGGCCACAGGGGGGAGGGGTTGTGGAGATGACCAGGATAAAGTCCTGGCTTTGCAAGCTTGGAGACCTGAGTTTGGTCCCGAGAAACCACATTTTAAAACAATCAGAGTGGTGGGGATAGAAAGGTGGGTCTCTGGAGCTCACTGGCCAGCTTCAGGTCAGCAAGACAGTATCTAAAATAAAAACCACAGAACAAACCGGACAAGAACAACAAAAAGATGGATGGCATCTGAGGAATGATACTCAAGGTTGACCCCTGGCCTCAGCAACACACAGAGTCAGTTCATTACAGTCAGTGGAGTCTAGGGCTGGGGACCAAGGTGTTATATGCTTGAAAATGGCTTTCTTCTAACCCTGTGGTGAATCCCTCTGGCAGGGCTTGGTATCAGCATTAATGGTTTGTTGGGAAAGCCTCCTGCCTCACTTGGGGCAGCTCCTGTGGACTACCTGGTCCCCTAGTCCCTTTCACAATCACCCTAATTGTTTCACTGACGGCTCCCTTTGCTGTGGAGTGTGCACAGTATATCAGCTCTGAGCCACGTATCCTCTGGGTAGCCATCACCTTGTCTCTTGGACTGTGATTGCACCAGCTAGGAGTAGGGAAGCTGGGTCCTTGAAGAGCTGGGGCTCCCTGGAGAGGCAGCCAAGGAGCATGGTTGAGGAGATGTGTTTGTACCGACAAGGTACTTCAGCTGGCCTTGTCCAGGCAGCCATCAACCCAAGTGCTCTATGTCCCTCCCTTGTTTCATCTTGCTTAGTCCCACTGCAGGCATAGGTGCTTTTACTAGCTAAGGCCCTTGGGGAGGTTGCTGGGGCTCAGGAGACCCCTCAGGGAAATCTTCCCCAATTCCCACAGAACCAGAA